ATAAAAGATGCAAGTGTTGTCCCAGGAGTGAGCGAGGTGCCACGGTGAGGGAATTAGATTAGGAGGAAAGCTGCAAATATCTCGCCGTTTTCAGTGGAACCGTCAGGTCGAATGATTTTTAAATGACAGAGCAAAGACAAATCACCAGAGAGAAAAAGACGAGACGACAAGAAAATGGCGTATTTTATGCAAGAACAGAAGTAATGAACATGAAAGCGTGTGCCAGCAACGCACCAATCATTCTTTGCACCGCCAGACCTCTAGTCACACAGTCTGCCAGTCCTCCAATCAAGCTTGTCGCCTTTTCTACAGTCTGTCAAACGTCTGTTCACAGTCCTCTCATTAAGTATTCTGACGAACTTCCCTCATCACCATAAACGATTTCGCACTATGGATCGACCACAGTGCCTCAATGGCAACGTCTGCGGGCGAACACAAAATGCAGCGCATGTGTATGTCCAGCATGTGTCTTGTCGGCGATGCATTGCCAGTTTCGGCTTAGATCTTCGCCAAATCTGTGGATCTACGCCTGGTCTTTGCCAGCGCGGTACTGGGGTCACCATCCGTCATGCAAAGGCTCATATCCCTCATGGAGGGTCACTGCCGTCACATGGAGGGTCACTGCCAGCGTCAACTCATGATTCAGAAGTTGACGAAGACTCGTTCACTGAACTGGGACAGAGGTCACGAGGTCATGCTCCGCGCGCGGTCGCCCTGCGCCTCCCACCAATGCAGATAATAAAGCCACTGGGAATCCAATTAAGCTTTCGCTCGCATAACAGGATGTTCGGTTGGATGTTTAATATTGTATATTATTTCTGAACGCGTGACTGAACAAGCAATTATGTGCCGCAGCAGGCTGCAAAAGCAATGTAGCTCTTCAAAGCAGACCAGAAAGAGATTGCTTTGCGATGTTGTTATTACATTCTGCCTTCGAATAAGGCTCTCATATCAGGAATTCAATATTGAATTTATCCAATCTATGGCTTCCAGGCCCTGGTATGCATGAAAAATGCATGACTTTTATTTCGTTAAATAATTAAATCAGGAACTCAGACTATGCTGCGCATTTATGAATTCTTGGAATACCTCAATATATCAAACCATATTTTACAGGAGATTTTTTCTACGGGATTCCGTAGTCTGCATTGGTTGCATTTCAAGGACGAAAGGATATATGTTGGGTTGTATTTAGAAGCTTTTCATAAGAGAGACGAATAACGGATAATCTATCTTTAGCTCATAGTTACTCGCGATCATTTGACATACCAAGTTGAAAAGAAAAGGTAAGACAAACGCAAATTTTAGTGCGTCAGTTTCTTATCTCATTTCAATAAACACCTTATCGATGAAATGCAAGAAAAGTCCACAATCGAAGGAAGGCGATTGTAGTACAGCCATCGACATTTAATATTCCTGCTTTTAGATTGCAGCCAACACAAGAAAGCCGATAACTATCACGAAATGTCCTAATGAAACGAATTAGGTACATTTGTAAGAATCCTACATGTTCAAAGGCCAAACACTGATGCACTATGTTACGCGATTCAGAAGAGCTCCATATTTGAAATTCCGTGGGAGAGGGCCATGATTCAGCCAGGAGTCCCGCCTGGGATGTCGTCAATTGTGGGCCAAAAGGTCGTCTGGAATACCGATTCGAGCCTGTACTGGCATAACAATGCGTTTGTCTCGGGGCCCAAGGCTTCCGTGGCGGCCAGTACCGCTATCGGTACTTACTGAGATTTGCTAGAGAGGTCACTGGGCAATATGTTGTGGATTTGACGGTTTGAAGAAGCCAGAGGTCAAACTACCGTTTTCTCTTCAGTCTACAAAAGAGGAAGAACACCAGATCTCTTCACTACATAGATGCATTGCTTGTAAACAGTTTCAATGTTTTGCAGTCGGAATGATATTGGAAGTGTATCACTAGAACACAAATGCTACCAATAACTAAGCAGCCTCAGAAAAGACTGTTTCAACTTTCTGCAACAACGACTAAGTTTGACATGAACACCTATGGTCCAAAGGTCAGACTACGAGTGCGCTGCCATCGACACAGCGTGCAATAAAAATAGAGCCCAGCTGTTCGGATTGGAGCGGGGAGGCCAGGCTGCGCCAAACCCCAAATGAGCAGGGGTGAAAAATTGTATCGTTTTGTCGTTGTCGACGACAACCGAGAAGACGATCTTATGGCGACCACGCGCAGGGCCTGAACTGATTCAGACCTCCCGCCTAGTGCGGTTTGAAGCGCGCAATCCATTCGTCTCTGCCCACCCAACCCAATCGCCTTTGTCCACGCAAACCATTCTCTGCCCCTCCCCCATCAAATCGACTCGCAGTTCTCGAGTCCGTTATCACCCTACGCGGCGGCATCTCAGTGGAAAATTTCCTGGTAGCTACAGACATATTCCAAATCCCCGTAGCTATTTAGTATATACTGCGTCGTTCGACCATCGTTCGGACGGCCGACCGGCGACCCTTATAAAGGCGACCAATGACATACCAAGTGGTCGCCGTGGTTGTCCGCTGGCAACACGTGTCTGGCAAATCTAGTACCTTCCAGGACTCAGCCGGCCCCTGCCCGCACCCTTCAGCGCCGCCCCCCGGCGGGCGGTCAGTTAGCGTCCCCTCCAATCCGCCGGGGCTCCTTTTGTGACGTCATACGCACCCCCGGCGGCGCCTGAGGGTAGGGCCACAGTGGGACCGCGTCAGTGCTAGTGGTGTCAATTTCAGAAAACGTATGTTTAATGTCCGTCCAATGTCCAATACTTACGTCGACTGTCCGTCCAAAAATGTCCAAGCCAGCCATTTGTCCAAAGATGTCCGACATCTAGGCAATAGTTTACACTCAACACCGTTATTTAATTCGCTTTTAATGTATCGTTACCAGCTCAAAAGTGTTAATCATATGGAAAACTGAGCTTTCTAATGGCCAATCAATGTTAAACACGATTACTTCATAAAAAAAAAAATCGAGGTGTAGCAAGCGATTGTCCAAAGTTGTCCAAAGCCTGCTGTCATTGTCCAACCACATTCCGAATTGGAAATTGGACAAAATCGGAATTCCGAAGATTCAAGTTCCGATTGACACCAAGAGTCAGTGCCGATAATATTTTGATGCGGGGAGGGCACGCCATGTCATGCCCACGAGGATACGGTGTCTCGGGACTTCCGAGGTCGAGGAATAAGGATCGTCGGACATTTGAGCCTCACAGCTGAGAGCCCTGCGCTTTCAAGGAGAGGAATAAGAATGTATTCGCACGCAGGGTCCGTGGCGTCTGCACGACCAAAGTGCATGTGCTAACTTGAGCACGTTTTGTTCAAAGGTGAGTGGAAGTCGACCAGGGGCACCGTGAAAGGGTCACGGAAAGGGTCAAAAGAGCTATAAAATCTTTTCCGCGGCGCCGTAGCTCTATACCTATAATTGATTCCCGAGTTGTGTGCCGGTGTTTCGAAAAAAAGTTGAAATAGGCAATATTTTTCATTTAATGGCATCTGGACTCTGGTGACCTGACCTTTTACTTGACCTAAAAAATGAATGACATATTTTCGTCCTTATTTTGGACGTTCTTTCGAATGCCGTTTACTGCTTGTCACTACCTGTCCCAGGATCAGAGTTAAAAGAGCGGGGTGTTGGACCTCCTCCCCCCAGCAGGGCGTGGAAATCAAGGACCCTCAGCGGGCCGCGGCTTAGACATCTTTAGTCGACAACCAAATAAGCCCGTGTTCTTTCGGACGACAACCACCGAAACACTTTTTTCAGCCCTGCAAATGAGAACAAAGTTTTAAGCTGGAAAGTTCAGCTGTCGAGGGACTGATCTAGATTCGGTTAACTCGTTACAAACCAGTCCGGGTACAAGTTTCGCCGGCTCGTTCTGAGCATATGACGGCGCTTCGTCAAAAGTCAAGGGCTGAATCTACGAAAAATATTACATGAATTGAAAACAATACGCTGGTATGTGGGCACCGGCAGCTTAAAGGTTTCGTTCATGTGTTTGATTCATTTGCCCAAAACAAGAAATTATCCAGAAGTTCCGTCAAGCTGCAGCCTGATAATGAAACGCCTGCTTTTGTATCGTCTTCAACGCTAGTTTGGTAATTACGAACGGTCATTATTGTCTGACGGATTTGGCTTCAAAAAATTAAATTCGATTGCGCCGTTACGGCGCATTTCTGAGTCGTGTTTCGATAAGAAGCTTTCCTGGCTAGATAATTGAGTGGTGTCAAAATAGAGCACCAGTGTGGTCCTGCCAACTAAGAGCAATTATCTATGTAGTTAAAATAGCTACGAGTGCCGATGTTGAGCGACTCCCTATGCATTTTCGACAAAAAAGGAAAGTTACATGAACATTAGCACATTCTCTAGCCCAGAACGATTAAGCCATAAACGGCAAACTAAAGCACTCCCCAAGAGTGGTTTGGCTGTCAGACTATGGGCAATCAATAAGAATAAAGCGAGTAGATCAGTCAGTGTTGTCCGTTTTCTATCTATATATAAGTCCTCATAAGAAATGATAAGAATTCTCACTGCAGCTTGCTGAACCTGAAGTAAATAGCCCGTTCCGAGTATCCATTTGCTCGTAGACCGGCTACTAATGGTGCTCGCCGGTCAATAAACGAAAGGCTGCACATCGGTGGGGAATGCTGATTTGTCCGGTATTTCAACTACAGTATGTAGGATGCTGTAAATGCCAACAAGGTATTGCTATTATTATACCGATTTACCGTATTTTTATACGGTAAATCGAATCTCCAGGAATTCAAAATGTATGTTGCAACAACATCTAGAATTGAGCAACTATGAAACATTGGTTTTGTGTTTTCTGTAGTTAGGAAGCTGTACAGAATTACGTTCAACAAAATGAAAATATCTTTTGTTACAAATGACTGCTTTGGACTGTTACTGGGCGACTGGGCGTTAATTTTCCTCTTGTTCCATGACATCGAATAAAGATATACAACAAAATTACATTCAAAGCACCAGTGAGCTGCATCCTTACCTGGACACGGTTTCGACGTTTGCGCGTACGGCGGTTTTCGCACTTTGGGCGGTGTCTTGAAGGGAGCTGTGTCGAATAGATAGTACCCGTCGGGTGGGGTCATCTCCACACCACCAACAGAGGCCATCAGAGCACACACCTGAAACGGAAACAGAGGGCGGTTACTGGTTACTGGTTCCAGCGGGGTAAATAGATATCCGGCCTCCTTCTGGGGAATGGCAGATTATGCAATTATGCACCCTACCGTGTTTTTTTGCGATAACTAAAATCATTTTGATATCCGAAAATGGGATTGATTAGAGTTATTCACTGAGCTTGAAGTTAACTTGCATCAATAAATTACCCTGAAATTAGACACATTGGTGCTTCACACATTCAAAACAAGTATTTCCCATAATTACCGACGCCTGAATTTCCCTTTCAACACAACTTTCTCCACAGCATTGTCCTGCCATATGGGTTTAGTTGTCCGGATTACTAGCTGAGCCATCTTGGTGTTAATCACTGTTCTGAGAAGTTGGCGCGGTGAAACTGGCTGTGCCGGTGTCTGTGGGACGACGACCGACGGCAGCGCGGCAGCTGGTGTGGGGGAAAGTCACTCTGCAACTGACCGGTAACAGGTCAGCCACCCGACAGGGGCCGAACAATGATGAGCGGGCGGGGAGGGGAAGGGGTAGCGCACTGTGTGATAGTGGAATGGTGGAATAGCGCCCTGCTGTTGCGGAAGGATAGAATGCCGCCTAGTGCGGGGTGGAGCGCTAAAATAACTCCTCGCGGTCCTTGGAAGGCTGGGATAGAGCCTGGTGATAAGACTTGTTTATTTAAAAAAGTGTCTTTCCGTTCCAGTTCCAATTTTAATTCAAGATTGACTGTACGATAAACTGCGTGACAACAGTCTACTGCTTTAGCCTGAGGTAGCTGTAACCGACGGATTGTTCGTCTTCATGTCCTGTGGCACTATGCTAAATAGAGATCGGTCATGCCTGGGGACGCGTGGCTTTGAGATTCTTGTGGATTTGCCCTGAACTTCTCAAAGAGCAACTATGCAATTTAAGTCCCTCCTTCACAAGCGAGCAGAGATAAACCAATGCAGATATTAGTTAAGCCTAGATGAGAAGGTCCTTTATACAGGGCTGAATATGATAAATCGCCGATCAAACCCCGGAACAATTCTCTCCACACCCCGCTGCTGACCCGAGCAGTGTTCAGCAATGGCCCATCTGACCACCTTCTGTGTCCGTCCGACCGACAACAATGGATGGCGTGAGCGGAACGGTCACCCGGGGTCACGGCACGGCCTCAGCCGCGGGCGATACGGAACAACGAACACTGATGGGGGATGGGAGTGGGAGGGGTAGCTCAGCTGAGTGGGAGGAGGAGGGGGGGGGGGGGGGTGAGACAGCTGAATGCCGGCCGGCCGAACGGGCTGGGTTAGTTGATTAAGTAACAGGAAGTACCCAGGCGATAGTGAAATTTGTGACGGTGCGAGGTTGAAAATTATCGAAGTTCAGTAAAGTTTGGTTTGATTATTATTTCATCAACCGGTGATTTATCTATCTACACGAAATAAAACAACGAAAACGGCAGAACAATTGTTTATTCATCTATGTATTATCGGTTAGGTGATAATGCCTTTGCGTATTTTATGTATCTATCGAAGCAATAGTGAGCTGTAAGATAGCCTGTCTAACCAATCTCTTCATTCGGCGGTAATGGTCGTGACGTCACAGCTGATCGGCTCATTGCCCTTCAGTTCACAAACACCCCTATTCCGAAACATCTGTAGAACTAAAAGCATTACCGAGGTATCAGCTGCTCGTGATTCAGGTCTAACGCTCGAGCAAATACAGCTATTAATTCTAGCGTAAAATGCACGCAAACAGTCTTGGGAAACCAGCAGGTGGTCAGCGCCAAACGAAAATGAAGCAGTGGGTCGGGGCAGAGGCATGGGTGGGACAAAAACCAGGATAGGGTCACCACAACAGCCCCGGGGCAGCGCAGATTTGCACCGTCACCTGTTTTTGTAATCAGTAGCCGTCTGTTTTTGTAGCACCTTTCTCTATTTACCAATAGCGTCTGGCCAGTCTGGGTAGCATATTTTAGCCCTTCTCTATCGAGGAGAAGGGCGACGCCACAACAGGACAGGGACTATCGAGATGAAACGAGAGGGGTTGCTTGGAGACGCCGTGCCTTATTTGGCTCTTTGGGACCGGGTGTCGTCATAGCTTACCGTTTACTAGGATAAGGTCCGACGGCAAAGGCTGGCATTATTGCCGCTGGCACCCCAGCAATCAGCAAGCCGACTTTTTGCTCATTAATAACAAAACAGTTCCACTTCCCTTCAATTAGCGTAATTAAGTGGATTAAAAGCTGGAACAAAGGTTTGCACGGTACTTCCGCGGGTGTTTTCGCATGTCGTTGTTTTTTGGTTGAGGAAGCCCAGCAGCTGCCGCACTTTTTGTGTGCACATGCTGCAAATAGACGAATTCGGAGTGGCTCAAAACGTCGCATACAAATGTGACAAAGCCACATCTTAATGTACAAATTGATATAACTCCGTCGACACTTAGGTTATCTTATTTTTATTGCTATTCACCTTATTTTCAGAACCAAGGAAATTGTTTTACTGCAAATTAAAACTTCGTGAAGCCAGGAACTCACAAGCTGTAGCTTTGCACTTTAGATAAGCTCACGCATGATTTTTTTTCATACCCTCAACAATTTGCTGAAACTTACCGTCATAAGTAACGCCTCTCCAAGCATTATCATCGCTGATTGCAGACTCGTTGAGACGGTGTCTTATCACAAGCCGCGGCTAGCGGCTCCTTCGATTCTTCCACACGTGCGGACTTCTCACCAGTCTGCACAGCTTACTCCCTGTTCTCACCACCAACTCACACCTTACACCTCGTCTTCACCTCGGTCACCTCAGCTCCGAGCCTGACGTCAGGTCGGGTCAGAGGTCACGAGTCACCTGACCCGAGCACAGGCCACACACACACACTGACTGGATCAGTCTCAGCTCCTCTTGGATGCTAGTTGTACCCTGGAAACCATCATCGACAGCACTGATGCTATGCTACGTCAATGTTCTCGCTCCACTTTTGTATGTCAATCGTTAAGTGTCTACTGTTTTCTATTTCTCGTTTCTCCACTCTTCGCTGTCAACAGACCACCGTCCACTATTCTTTTTCTGTCTACTGTCCACCGTTCACTGTCTCTTGTATGCTGTTTGCAGTTTCCCTCTCCACCGTCCACTAAGCCCACTGTCCACCGGTGTCCACGTCTCCACCTCTCCCGTATCACTCCCGTACCAGTGTGTGCTGCGGGTAGTGCGGTCGCCGGCTGACTGGCCCTCCGTCCGCTGCCTAGCGCTGTGGCGCTACTGTGCCTACTGCGGTGAGGTTTCGGTACGCTACCTCGGCAAGGGAGAGCGGTGGGCGGCTGTGGGTCCCACTAAACTACTTCCCATGCGGCAGACAGCGCGCGAGGACACGCGTCCGGCTCGCGGCAAGCGAGGGATATGTCACAAGACGAGCAGGGAGGAGGGATATGACACGCGACGACAATTTAAACACACCCAGCTAGCAAAGAACACGCGTCCGGTTGGCAACGCTCTTCCGGGCAAGAATGAGGATTGCGTGTTGGCGTGATTTTTTTTTTAATGGACGAGTTAAGCAAGGTGCGAGTCTGGCCTGTGTTACGATGTCTGCCTTACGATATGATACGATTTGTGTGTTACGATAATGTAATACGAGTTGCGAACTGAGAGTGAGTTGTAATGCTGTCTTTTTCGATTTAAGAACATGACATTTGGGCCTTAAATAACCTGTTACCCTCTCTTCTTGAACGCTTCTTATCTCCTAAGGC